AGTCCTCCCCCCCCCCCCCCCCCCCCAGTGCTCCTTCCTCTGTCCCAGCCACTGCAAAATTCAAGGTTTGGGGGCATGTAGAAGAGGAGCTGCAGGGAAACAGGTTTAGGCCTCTTCTAAGGCTGATGGTGGGCTCAGAACTAGCATTGCACCTCCTACAATAAATGGCGCAGGCAATGCCACTGCAATTTCACACCCTTCCTGAACCACAAATATAAACCCAACAAGCAAGTACCCTTCAATATAAAAATGATCTGACTGATTTCTACAAAACACAGGTTCTAATTGTTCTTATCAGCTGCTTCAATAGCAGATGGGCTTACAATGAAAGACTCACCTATCCAGTTCTGATTCTGACCCAGTATCGGTTTTGGGTTCTTCCTGGTGTTTCACTTCCTTCTTAGAGGCTGGGACTGCAGAACTAGAAGGACAACATACCATGCATTACAAAGTTCTATATAACAAGAGACACACACAGTCTGAAGCATCCTTTAAATCTACTGACCTCGCAGATGAAGTCTTCACAGGATCTGGAGGGTCTGACGGACAGATACATGGAGGGGTTAGTAGTGACTTCAAATCTCTGATGTCATCGTCCGCCTCATACTGCAGAATGTTTGTGTACGTTAGATGGGCTGCCACACTTAACCTTTAAAGCCCAACTCCCAGAAGAAGATGGAGGTGCACACAATGAGAAAGAACCTTGTCCAATGACTAGACCATAGGACCTACCTGAAAAGAAAGACTGGGACCTTCAGGATCGATTTGTCGGCTCAGGCACTCCGCGACTACCATTCCCAAACACCTGACTGGAGGAAGAGAACTGTCCAGGTATAGACGAGTGCCAGAGGTCAGAGCATGCAGAAGCTCTGTGCATGAGAGACAAGACAGGAGTTGGTAGAAGGGGAAAAAAAAGAAACATGTTGTTACAGGAATACTACTACCATGCCGTACAGCCTCCTACCTTGTTTGCAACCCTCCAGTTCCTGTTTGTTCAGAAGACTTATGCAGATGAAGATACAACGACTGAGATGCAGCATTTGGGGGTAAGGCGAGTGTTTTACCATGCTACCCGATGACCAAACTTCCAGAAGCTCCCCGAAAACCTGTCAGAAGAACACACAGTCATTTACATTCTACCTCACCACCACTCATCACAGTCCTGATCAGGTCTATACACTACTTCTCCACTCATATCACAGTCCTTAATATCTGGTCTATATACTACCTCCCCACTCATATCACAGTCCTTAATATCTGCTCTATATACTACCTCCCCACTCATATCACCATCCTGATTATCTGGTCTATATACTACCTCCCCACTCATATCACAGTCCTTAATATCAGGTGTATATACTACCTCCCCACTCATATCACCGTCTTGAATATCTGGTCTATATACTACCTCCCCACTCATATCACAGTCCTTAATATCTGCTCTATATACTACCTCCCCACTCATATCACCGTCCTGAATATCTGGTCTATATACTACCTCCCCATTCATATCACCGTCCTTAATATCTGCTCTATATACAGGTGAAACTTGAATAATTAGAATATTGTGCAAAAGTTCATTTATTTCACTAATGCAACTTAAAAGGTGAAACTAATATATGAGATAGGCTCATTACATGCAAAGCAAGATAGTTCAAGCCGTGATTTGTCATAATTGTGATGATTATGGCTTACAGCTCATGAAAACCCCAAATCCACAATCTCAGAAAATTAGAATATTGTGAAAAGGTGCAATATTCTAGGCTCAAAGTGTCCCACTCTAATCAGCTAATGAAGCCATAACACCTGCAAAGGGTTCCTGAGCCTTTAAATGGTCTCTCAGTCTGGTTCAGTAGGAATCACAATCATAGGAAAGACTGCTGACCTGACAGTTGTGCAGAAAACCATCATTGACACCCTCCATAAGGAGGGAAAGCCTCAAAAGGTAATTGCAAAAGAAGTTGGATGTTCCCAAAGTGCTGTATCAAAGCACATTAGTAGAAAGTTATGTGGAAGGGAAAAGTGTGGAAGAAAAAGGTGCACAAGCAGCAGGGATGACCGCAGCCTGGAGAGGATTGTCAGGAAAAGGCCATTCAAAAGTGTTGGGGACTTTCACAAGGAGTGGACTGAGGCTGGAGTCAGTGCATCAAGAGCCACCACACACAGACGGATCCTGGATATGGGCTTCAAATGTCGTATTCCTCTTGTCAAGCCACTCCTGAACAACAAACAACGTCAGAAGCGTCTTACCTGGGCTAAAGAAAAACAGACCTGGTCTGTTGCTCAGTGGTCCAAAGTCCTCTTTTCTGATGAGAGCAAATTTTGCATCTCATTTGGAAACCAAGGACCCAGAGTATGGAGGAAGAATGGAGAGGCACACACTGCAAGATGCTTGAAGTCCAGTGTGAAGTTTCCACAGTCTGTGTTGATTTGGGGAGCCATGTCATCTGCTGGTGTTGGTCCACTGTGCTTCATTAAGTCCAGGGTCAACGCAGCCGTCTACCAGGAGATTTTGGAGCACTTCATGCTTCCTTCCACAGACGAGCTCTATGGGGATGCTGACTTCATTTTCCAGCAGGACTTGGCACCTGCCCACACTGCCAAAAGCACCAAAACCTGGTTCAGTGGGATTACTGTGCTTGATTGGCCAGCAAACTCGCCTGACCTGAACCGCACAGAGAATCTATGGGGCATTGCCAAGAGAAAGATGAGAGACATGAGACCGAACAATGCAGAAGAGCTGAAGGCCGCTATTGAAGCATCCTGGTCTTCCATAATACCTCAGCAGTGCCACAGGCTGATAGCTTCCATGCCACGCCACATTGAGGCAGTAATTGCTGCAAAGGGGGCCCAAACCAAGTACTGACTACATATGCATGCTTATACTTTTCAGAGGTCCGATATTGTTCTATGTACAATCCTTGTTTTATTGATTGCATGTAATATTCTAATTTTCTGAGATTGTGGATTTGGGGTTTTCATGAGCTGTAAGCCATAATCATCACAATTATGACACATCACAGCTTGAACTATCTTGCTTTGCATGTAATGAGTCTATCTCATATATTAGTTTCACCTTTTAAGTTGCATTAGTGAAATAAATGAACTTTTGCACGATATTCTAATTATTCGAGTTTCACCTGTACTACCTCCCCACTCATATCACAGTCCCTAATATCTGGTCTATATACTACATCCTCACTCATATCACAGTCCTTAATATCTGGTCTATACACTACCTCCCCACTCATATCACAGTCCTTAATATCTGGTCTATATACTACCTCCCCACTCATATCACAGTCCTGAATATCTGGTCTAAATACTACCTAAAAAAAAACGGCAACCATAAGTCAATTTATAACTAGGCTTAAAAGCAAGGTGCACATGGAAGGGCTTGCAACAGTAGAAAACACAGACATTTCCCAGCATGCTCACCGGCTAGCCTGCAACAAAACAAATGACACTAACAGTATGCGTTAACAGAGGTTTTAGTTGCACAACTTTTGCAAAATATGTGGAAGCCGCACAGCCTCATCAAGGCCCCTCTGTGTAGTGTGCTCCTAACTAATTTTCGGGAGTCTCCATATTGGAGCACATAAAGCAGTAGATGAATTGAATGCAGGTTCACCTGAAGGGAGCCCACTCCTCCTTAAAGACATAGGGACACACTGGAGGCCCAGCACATAATGTAAGCTGAAGTCCCCAGAGCACCCCCACACCCAATACAGCCAAGCTAAACAAAACACCGCAACCACAAGCCAATTTATACCCGGCCTTAAAAGCAAGGTGCACATGGAAGGGTTTGCAACAGTCCAAGTTTAAACTGGTCTGAAATACAGGGATGTAAATAAAACAGAATAGTTTTACTGAATGTCATTAGTCTGTTGATGAGGAAGGGATGGAGAAATGCAACTTCAACTCAAAAGATGCATTAACTACACTGTAGGTATATTCTTAATTTGCAACATAAAAAAATATCCACTACTCATACCCACCTTCACCAACAATGTCCGCCGACTATTTTCCATGGCCAGATATCCCAGAATCGTTTGCAGCATCTCATTCTGCGCGGGAACAAGAAAAGAACCAATTTACATACCATTACCACCGTGATCAGAATGAGTGCCTAGCTTTACTTTTAGATTTACCTTGTAACCATACTGCAGGAACAGCAGCTTCTGTGTGAGAATGAACTGGGTCTTCTTATTTTTCAAAACCAGATCTCCCAATAACTGGGAAAGAGCAGAAGGTCTAAGAATGACACAGGAGGTATATAATAAAGATCGGAGCAATGCAACAAGGTGCAGAGTGTATAGCAGATTAAAGCCAAACTCTGGGCAGATATTAAACAAAAAAAAACACAACAGTTAATGCAACTCGTGTATTTATCAAATAATTCATGAAATATATATGTTTTAAAGTGTATATCCGCTTTTGTGAGAACATCTACTTTAGAACTGTTCCATGTTCTCACTCATGTTGCATGGCTGAAAAAATTAAATTTGCTGCTTACATTTTACTTTTTCTCTAAACTGAATTTCCCTCTGAAATGCACAGGGGTGGGAAGTCACATCAGATCTGTGCTGTCCGATCTCATCATCAGTTGTAAACTAGATCTGAATACTGTCTGCCCTAACAAAGATTTCATGATATAGCAGTGCGCAAAGAAACCAGTATAACTGGGAGGAACCTATGCATTCACTTATAAACTCTTTTGTAGAATTAAGAAACCTCGGCACTCCAGCTGCGCTGAGACTACAAATCGCTTCATCCCTCTGCCTCTGGGAGTCATGCCTGTGGCTATCAGAGTCTTGCAATGCCTCATGGGTCTTGTGGTTCCACAACAGCTGGAGTGCTGAGGTTGCCTACCCCTGTTCTATTCAATGGCGTCCCTGTTAGAATTTGAACCCAGAAACCCGGCAGGACAAGACAAAAGAGATGACATTTACCCAGGTGCCATTTGTGCAAGTCCAGTGACCACAGGCTCCATCCACCTGTCAGGAACCGACTCCACCAATCTCCAGCAAATCCTCTGCCAGATACAATCTGATTGGACCTGGGCAATCAGGCGTGGTAGCAGAACAGAAAACAGCTCCCCTGTAAATAAACAAAAAAATGTGCACCGTCTTTATTGTTACAGCACTGGTATGCATTTCAGGTCCATCAGAAACTGAAGTGAACATAAATCCTAACAGTGAACATCTCCTATTTGCGCCCTTTGCAGTGTTTGCAAAATATACCAATAAACACATTTCGGTAAGTTCAAAGATACCTATTGATCCTGCCACATATCTTGTGAGTTGATAACATCCTGTGCTCTCTGTTTGTGCTGGTCTCCTATCAGTTACATTGTTCCAAGATGTCTCCGATGACTACAGAACCCCTTCCCTCTATCTTATGGAAAATAGGGCAGGGGAAGGCATTTGTAGTCCTGTCCTAGGGTGACAGTGCAGCTGCTCCACAGATAAAGTGAAGTTAGTGAATGTTGTCATCCTGGGACAGGAAGTAGAAAATAAAAAGGGAAAAAAAAAACACTGAAAAAAGGACTAATGCAGTGACCACATTTAAAGACTGCTAAGCTGCAGGTTTTTACATTTTTAAAAAATGTACATATAAAGTTTTAGAATTTAGAAAAACAGGAAAGGAGAACTATGGGGAGAGGGAAATGCACGTCGGCTCTATTAATCGAGAACTGATGGATCACAAAGCACTGATCACTCAGTTGACTTTGTTCTCCCTGCAGAGAATGGTGGCCGTCAGTCATCACTCCTGCAGTGATTCTCCCCTCTTCTCTCTCTGTTCCTCCAGTGCTCAGTGAAGGGCCAGACAGGCGAGGGGGCGGGCTCAGCTGGCTCTAGAGAGATAGAGCCAGCTGTCAATCAGGCAGCAGGGGGGATCCCAACAATATTGTCGGGATCTGTCCTGGCTGCAGTGCGGCTCTGCACCGTCAGCATATAGCAGGCAATAGCTCTTTATATAAGGAGTTTTGGGTTACAGGGGGACATAGTTCTATTTTGGGTTACAGGGGGACATAGTTCTCTTTTGGGTTACAGGGGGACATAGTTCTCTTTTGGGTTACAGGGGGACATAGTTCTCTTTTGGGTTACAGGGGGACATAGTTCTCTTTTGGGTTACAGGGGGACAGTTCTCTTTTGGGTTACAAGGGGACATAGTTCTCTTTTGGGTTACAGGAGGACATTTTACAAATGCCAAAAAAGTTTGGCTATAGTTCTGTTCTAACTTTTGGGAAACACAGCTTTGCTGCTCTGTAAATGGCATCTAAAAACAAAATTGGAGAGCAAAACACATTCACATGAAGAAAGAATGCACGAGCAATCACATTTCTTCTCGCTCTGATAAACGGTTTTAAAAAAAACCCAAAAACACTTTAAAGTGGAACTATTATTAAAATTTACACTTTACAGGACTCAATATGACTGTTAAAACTATGAAATCACATATAGGGAAATATGTATGTTTGTAAGCCTAAATGATGATTGTTTTTCAATATTTTAATCTATCCAAGTTTGGAGTTGCAGTTTTGACTAGGGGTGCACAGATACTTTTCGAGTACCAGTGCAGATACTTGGCATTTCCATGAGAACTACCAGGGTTGCAGCTGGGACCTGGCTCTGGCCCTCCCCCATTGTCCTGAAATCATTAGTCTGTATTGTTTTAGAAAAACTGTCACATGACAATAAACAAAAATGTATCAGTACTCATACTTGTAAGTACTCGGCAAGTACCAGTACTCGTACTCGCAAAACTGGTATGTGTGCATCACTTTATTTATATTTATAAAAACAAAATCCTACATTAAAACCGAGATGTACAAATCCCGGGAGCTCCGTGTGCTCCTTACAGATGACAGCGGCCTCCTAATTTTTTAATTTTTCTCTAGTCTAGTCTTGGAGCTCAAAGGTATCGGTACATGTACTCGTACTTGTACCGAGTACTGTACTTGGTATCTGTGCAACCCTAGTTTTGACTGTGCTGCTGATTTTGAGTTAGAATTGGTAATCAATCAGTAAGCCTGACAGGCAAACCTAAGTATAGTTTGAAACAGTTGTTAGGTATGCCCAAAATGGGATTGAAGGAAAACACATTACTCAGGATGAAACGCCCTTATGCTAATGAGATTGACTTTTTTTTTTTTTCATATTAAATGTTTATTAAAGATTTTCAAAATATAACAAAAAACACACATACAATACATTAAGCACACATTAAGACAATCACATTACATACGATATCTAAGGTAAAAGGGGGGACAAGAGACGCAGGGATACGTTTCTCTTTTGGGTTACAGGGGGACATAGTTCTCTTTTGGGTTACAGGGGGACATAGTTCTCTTTTGGGTTACAGGGGGACATAGTTCTCTTTTGGGTTACAGGGGGACATAGTTCTCTTTTGGGTTACAGGGGGACATAGTTCTCTTTTGGGTTACAGGGGGACATAGTTCTCTTTTGGGTTACAGGGGGACATAGTTCTCTTTTGGGTTACAGGGGGACATAGTTCTCTTTTGGGTTACAGGGGGACATAGTTCTCTTTTGGGTTACAGGGGGACATAGTTCTCTTTTGGGTTACAGGGGGACATAGTTCTCTTTTGGGTTACAGGGGGACATAGTTCTCTTTTGGGTTACAGGGGGACATAGTTCTCTTTTGGGTTACAGGGGGACATAGTTCTCTTTTGGGTTACAGGGGGACATAGTTCTCTTTTGGGTTACAGGGGGACATAGTTCTCTTTTGGGTTACAGGGGGACATAGTTCTCTTTTGGGTTACAGGGGGACATAGTTCTCTTTTGGGTTACAGGGGGACATAGTTCTCTTTTGGGTTACAGGGGGACATAGTTCTCTTTTGGGTTACAGGGGGACATAGTTCTCTTTTGGGTTACAGGGGGACATAGTTCTCTTTTGGGTTACAGGGGGACATAGTTCTCTTTTGGGTTACAGGGGGACATAGTTCTCTTTTGGGTTACAGGGGGACATAGTTCTCTTTTGGGTTACAGGGGGACATAGTTCTCTTTTGGGTTACAGGGGGACATAGTTCTCTTTTGGGTTACAGGGGGACATAGTTCTCTTTTGGGTTACAGGGGGACATAGTTCTCTTTTGGGTTACAGGGGGACATAGTTCTCTTTTGGGTTACAGGGGGACATAGTTCTCTTTTGGGTTACAGGGGGACATAGTTCTCTTTTGGGTTACAGGGGGACATAGTTCTCTTTTGGGTTACAGGGGGACATAGTTCTCTTTTGGGTTACAGGGGGACATAGTTCTCTTTTGGGTTACAGGGGGACATAGTTCTCTTTTGGGTTACAGGGGGACATAGTTCTCTTTTGGGTTACAGGGGGACATAGTTCTCTTTTGGGTTACAGGGGGACATAGTTCTCTTTTGGGTTACAGGGGGACATAGTTCTCTTTTGGGTTACAGGGGGACATAGTTCTCTTTTGGGTTACAGGGGGACATAGTTCTCTTTTGGGTTACAGGGGGACATAGTTCTCTTTTGGGTTACAGGGGGACATAGTTCTCTTTTGGGTTACAGGGGGACATAGTTCTCTTTTGGGTTACAGGGGGACATAGTTCTCTTTTGGGTTACAGGGGGACATAGTTCTCTTTTGGGTTACAGGGGGACATAGTTCTCTTTTGGGTTACAGGGGGACATAGTTCTCTTTTGGGTTACAGGGGGACATAGTTCTCTTTTGGGTTACAGGGGGACATAGTTCTCTTTTGGGTTACAGGGGGACATAGTTCTCTTTTGGGTTACAGGGGGACATAGTTCTCTTTTGGGTTACAGGGGGACATAGTTCTCTTTTGGGTTACAGGGGGACATAGTTCTCTTTTGGGTTACAGGGGGACATAGTTCTCTTTTGGGTTACAGGGGGACATAGTTCTCTTTTGGGTTACAGGGGGACATAGTTCTCTTTTGGGTTACAGGGGGACATAGTTCTCTTTTGGGTTACAGGGGGACATAGTTCTCTTTTGGGTTACAGGGGGACATAGTTCTCTTTTGGGTTACAGGGGGACATAGTTCTCTTTTGGGTTACAGGGGGACATAGTTCTCTTTTGGGTTACAGGGGGACATAGTTCTCTTTTGGGTTACAGGGGGACATAGTTCTCTTTTGGGTTACAGGGGGACATAGTTCTCTTTTGGGTTACAGGGGGACATAGTTCTCTTTTGGGTTACAGGGGGACATAGTTCTCTTTTGGGTTACAGGGGGACATAGTTCTCTTTTGGGTTACAGGGGGACATAGTTCTCTTTTGGGTTACAGGGGGACATAGTTCTCTTTTGGGTTACAGGGGGACATAGTTCTCTTTTGGGTTACAGGGGGACATAGTTCTCTTTTGGGTTACAGGGGGACATAGTTCTCTTTTGGGTTACAGGGGGACATAGTTCTCTTTTGGGTTACAGGGGGACATAGTTCTCTTTTGGGTTACAGGGGGACATAGTTCTCTTTTGGGTTACAGGGGGACATAGTTCTCTTTTGGGTTACAGGGGGACATAGTTCTCTTTTGGGTTACAGGGGGACATAGTTCTCTTTTGGGTTACAGGGGGACATAGTTCTCTTTTGGGTTACAGGGGGACATAGTTCTCTTTTGGGTTACAGGGGGACATAGTTCTCTTTTGGGTTACAGGGGGACATAGTTCTCTTTTGGGTTACAGGGGGACATAGTTCTCTTTTGGGTTACAGGGGGACATAGTTCTCTTTTGGGTTACAGGGGGACATAGTTCTCTTTTGGGTTACAGGGGGACATAGTTCTCTTTTGGGTTACAGGGGGACATAGTTCTCTTTTGGGTTACAGGGGGACATAGTTCTCTTTTGGGTTACAGGGGGACATAGTTCTCTTTTGGGTTACAGGGGGACATAGTTCTCTTTTGGGTTACAGGGGGACATAGTTCTCTTTTGGGTTACAGGGGGACATAGTTCTCTTTTGGGTTACAGGGGGACATAGTTCTCTTTTGGGTTACAGGGGGACATAGTTCTCTTTTGGGTTACAGGGGGACATAGTTCTCTTTTGGGTTACAGGGGGACATAGTTCTCTTTTGGGTTACAGGGGGACATAGTTCTCTTTTGGGTTACAGGGGGACATAGTTCTCTTTTGGGTTACAGGGGGACATAGTTCTCTTTTGGGTTACAGGGGGACATAGTTCTCTTTTGGGTTACAGGGGGACATAGTTCTCTTTTGGGTTACAGGGGGACATAGTTCTCTTTTGGGTTACAGGGGGACATAGTTCTCTTTTGGGTTACAGGGGGACATAGTTCTCTTTTGGGTTACAGGGGGACATAGTTCTCTTTTGGGTTACAGGGGGACATAGTTCTCTTTTGGGTTACAGGGGGACATAGTTCTCTTTTGGGTTACAGGGGGACATAGTTCTCTTTTGGGTTACAGGGGGACATAGTTCTCTTTTGGGTTACAGGGGGACATAGTTCTCTTTTGGGTTACAGGGGGACATAGTTCTCTTTTGGGTTACAGGGGGACATAGTTCTCTTTTGGGTTACAGGGGGACATAGTTCTCTTTTGGGTTACAGGGGGACATAGTTCTCTTTTGGGTTACAGGGGGACATAGTTCTCTTTTGGGTTACAGGGGGACATAGTTCTCTTTTGGGTTACAGGGGGACATAGTTCTCTTTTGGGTTACAGGGGGACATAGTTCTCTTTTGGGTTACAGGGGGACATAGTTCTCTTTTGGGTTACAGGGGGACATAGTTCTCTTTTGGGTTACAGGGGGACATAGTTCTCTTTTGGGTTACAGGGGGACATAGTTCTCTTTTGGGTTACAGGGGGACATAGTTCTCTTTTGGGTTACAGGGGGACATAGTTCTCTTTTGGGTTACAGGGGGACATAGTTCTCTTTTGGGTTACAGGGGGACATAGTTCTCTTTTGGGTTACAGGGGGACATAGTTCTCTTTTGGGTTACAGGGGGACATAGTTCTCTTTTGGGTTACAGGGGGACATAGTTCTCTTTTGGGTTACAGGGGGACATAGTTCTCTTTTGGGTTACAGGGGGACATAGTTCTCTTTTGGGTTACAGGGGGACATAGTTCTCTTTTGGGTTACAGGGGGACATAGTTCTCTTTTGGGTTACAGGGGGACATAGTTCTCTTTTGGGTTACAGGGGGACATAGTTCTCTTTTGGGTTACAGGGGGACATAGTTCTCTTTTGGGTTACAGGGGGACATAGTTCTCTTTTGGGTTACAGGGGGACATAGTTCTCTTTTGGGTTACAGGGGGACATAGTTCTCTTTTGGGTTACAGGGGGACATAGTTCTCTTTTGGGTTACAGGGGGACATAGTTCTCTTTTGGGTTACAGGGGGACATAGTTCTCTTTTGGGTTACAGGGGGACATAGTTCTCTTTTGGGTTACAGGGGGACATAGTTCTCTTTTGGGTTACAGGGGGACATAGTTCTCTTTTGGGTTACAGGGGGACATAGTTCTCTTTTGGGTTACAGGGGGACATAGTTCTCTTTTGGGTTACAGGGGGACATAGTTCTCTTTTGGGTTACAGGGGGACATAGTTCTCTTTTGGGTTACAGGGGGACATAGTTCTCTTTTGGGTTACAGGGGGACATAGTTCTCTTTTGGGTTACAGGGGGACATAGTTCTCTTTTGGGTTACAGGGGGACATAGTTCTCTTTTGGGTTACAGGGGGACATAGTTCTCTTTTGGGTTACAGGGGGACATAGTTCTCTTTTGGGTTACAGGGGGACATAGTTCTCTTTTGGGTTACAGGGGGACATAGTTCTCTTTTGGGTTACAGGGGGACATAGTTCTCTTTTGGGTTACAGGGGGACATAGTTCTCTTTTGGGTTACAGGGGGACATAGTTCTCTTTTGGGTTACAGGGGGACATAGTTCTCTTTTGGGTTACAGGGGGACATAGTTCTCTTTTGGGTTACAGGGGGACATAGTTCTCTTTTGGGTTACAGGGGGACATAGTTCTCTTTTGGGTTACAGGGGGACATAGTTCTCTTTTGGGTTACAGGGGGACATAGTTCTCTTTTGGGTTACAGGGGGACATAGTTCTCTTTTGGGTTACATGGGGACATAGTTCTCTTTTGGGTTACAGGGGGACAGTTCTCTTTTGGGTTACAAGGGGACATAGTTCTCTTTTGGGTTACAGGAGGACATTTTACAAATGCCAAAAAAGTTTGGCTATAGTTCTGTTCTAACTTTTGGGAAACACAGCTTTGCTGCTCTGTAAATGGCATCTAAAAACAAAATTGGAGAGCAAAACACATTCACATGAAGAAAGAATGCACGAGCAATCACATTTCTTCTCGCTCTGATAAACGGTTTTAAAAAAAACCCAAAAACACTTTAAAGTGGAACTATTATTAAAATTTACACTTTACAGGACTCAATATGACTGTTAAAACTATGAAATCACATATAGGGAAATATGTATGTTTGTAAGCCTAAATGATGATTGTTTTTCAATATTTTAATCTATCCAAGTTTGGAGTTGCAGTTTTGACTAGGGGTGCACAGATACTTTTCGAGTACCAGTGCAGATACTTGGCATTTCCATGAGAACTACCAGGGTTGCAGCTGGGACCTGGCTCTGGCCCTCCCCCATTGTCCTGAAATCATTAGTCTGTATTGTTTTAGAAAAACTGTCACATGACAATAAACAAAAATGTATCAGTACTCATACTTGTAAGTACTCGGCAAGTACCAGTACTCGTACTCGCAAAACTGGTATGTGTGCATCACTTTATTTATATTTATAAAAACAAAATCCTACATTAAAACCGAGATGTACAAATCCCGGGAGCTCCGTGTGCTCCTTACAGATGACAGCGGCCTCCTAATTTTTTAATTTTTCTCTAGTCTAGTCTTGGAGCTCAAAGGTATCGGTACATGTACTCGTACTTGTACCGAGTACTGTACTTGGTATCTGTGCAACCCTAGTTTTGACTGTGCTGCTGATTTTGAGTTAGAATTGGTAATCAATCAGTAAGCCTGACAGGCAAACCTAAGTATAGTTTGAAACAGTTGTTAGGTATGCCCAAAATGGGATTGAAGGAAAACACATTACTCAGGATGAAACGCCCTTATGCTAATGAGATTGACTTTTTTTTTTTTTCATATTAAATGTTTATTAAAGATTTTCAAAATATAACAAAAAACACACATACAATACATTAAGCATACATTAAGACAATCACATTACATACGATATCTAAGGTAAAAGGGGGGACAAGAGACGCAGGGATACAGGGGGGGGGGTTGGTCCCCTGGTCGGGGCGCTTTTGGAGTAAGCGTGGCGCAATATGCGCATTCAGGCATGTGGCAAAACAGTGCATAACAATACAGTGATGGGGCCCCTCAATGGAACTTGGCAATCATTTTACCGGAAGCGTAGTGTGTTAGGGTAAAAGACAATCGCCAGTTTTACAGAGTTACTAATTAAAAAAAAAAAATTAAATAAAATAGAATAACAGGTTTTAAAGCAGACCATATCACGCGGATAGCATTGAGACATATTCGTCCTGAGTTTTAAAGTGCAGCCATCCCGCCCAAGTCGTGTGAAAAGTGCTATATGTGTCCTTACTAAAGTGATGGAGTTCTTCCATCAGACGCAGATGGTCCACCCGTGTCAACCACTCTGCCACCGTGGGTGTTTGGTTTGAGCGCCAGTGTGTGGGGATGAGAGCTTTCGCTGCATTGAGCATAAAGGGAATTACCGATCTCTTATATGAACGCATTGAAAGGGGGTTAAGATGGAAGAGGCACAGCCAGGGGTCCATGTGTGTAGGTATACCGCTAATGGTGGAAATGAGACGGGTGACGTCCCCCCAGAACTGTTGTATGTGCGGGCAATCCCACCATAAGTGAGCATACGTGCCTTGATGAGATTGACTTTTAAGGTAAACATTCCAAAGGTTATTTTAAAGTAAAAGCATGGATAAAAGGACGGGGGATGATCCTTCAAGACACAGACACACAGAAGACAAATACCTGTTAAATACTTTTTTTTACTTACAAACCAAAGACACGTTTCTTAAGCATCTTATAGATTTTTGCTGTACGATATACTATATTTTGTAATCATCAAGCATCTTATAGACTCATTCTGTAAGATATACCATATCCTGTAATCATTTGTAACTTTGCAATTAAACACATTTTTGAATTTATGCAAGTACGGAAGCAATCTTCTCTTTCGAACTTCTTCCACCCTATGCTTCAAGAAAAGGAATATGACTTAAAAAAATCATATTTCTACAATGACATATGTCAGAAACACCAAACACATTATTTTGAATAAAAAGGAACCCATTGCATGTCTTGAATAGAACATTCTGAGTTTCCCCAGGTTTAATACATGGCACTGATAACATCACTAATAATAAACCAATCTGTTTTATACGAATATCTAAAGACATTAATACTACTGCAATTTCCCTATAAACCCCTCAAGAGAACTATGGGGTAACCTTTTTTTACAAAAGTTCCAAAAGGGTCACAGGAGGACATATACTAACCTCCTTCTGTGACCCAAAGCTCAGTATATAGCGAGCTATTGCCAACAGTATTGCCAACAATACTGTCGATATCCACCCAGCTGTGCCTGCCCTCTCCCGCATCTGTTCTTCCACTCAGCGCTGGAGGATCGGAGAGGGGAGGGGGGGAATCCCTGCGGGGAGCAGTGACTAACAGTCACCACTCTCTGTGGGGAGATGATCGGGAAGTGAGCGAGTGGCGGTATGTTTTTGCTCTCTTCCCGAATTGACAAGTCTCCTCAACAGTGACAGGAAGCCACATCCAGAAAAGAGGAGCAAACAGTATCCATTGTACTAAAATGTGGCTAATGTCTATGCACAAAGAAAGCTGCCATTCTGTGACCATTATTATTGGGTGTTATTTACTAATATGCCTCTACCGTGCTGTTTGAGTTTACTCACTTTGCCGGCCTTGCATGCAGACTTTGCCCAGAATCTGGGACACAAAATTGATAGAGCAGCCTTTCCCATCTATGAAGAAAAGAGAAAAACACATATTTAAAAACATTAACGATCCATTGATGTAGTAAATAATGAAGGCCCCTGTACTACACAGATTATGGTATATCTATTTATGTGTTGTTCTTAGCGTCAGTAATCTGGCTTTTTCATTTCAAAGTCATGAAAAAGGTTGGAGACGAGCCATGAATAAAAAAGACAGATTTACTTTCAAATAAATGTAGAGCTTATACATTCTGTTGTGGAACCACAAGTCCCATAAGGCATTGCAAGACTGACAGCCACAGGCATGACTCCCAGAGGCAGATGCATGCTGGGATTTGTAGTTAAAGCAAGGCTAGAGGGAAGGAGTTTCCCGCCCCTACTCAAGAGAGCACGTTGGCAAACCATAACAATAAAGTAATTACTAAAAAAAGTTTTGCCTGGACCTCTTCCTAAACTTAACCTTCCACAGCGGTTCCTACATAACCCACTCAAAACATGCAATTCAAGTTACCTCTTAAAGACACAGACACCATCTGCAGCACTTTCAGTATGGCATTTCCGACGCGAGGAAAGTAGTTTTGCGAATAGAAGACCGACTTGTTATGCTTTTGCAGACAGTTGGCCACGTGGTCAGGCAAGTTACAGATTTTTGCCAAGATGGCTTCATGCAAGACAGGCGTCGGAGTGGCTTCCAGCTGCTGCTCACACATCTCCCAGATGACTTCCGCCAGGGCCCCGCGCTGCACGAATTTCTCAAGAACGTGAACACAGCGATCCAGGCGAGCAGAAGGCCTTAAAGAGACAAGCAAAGAAAACAAAACAAGGTGGCTCATCTACCTGTACACTGCAGAGGTATACTGAAAGAAGAGAAAGTCAGCTATTCACACAATACTACCGCATCCTACCAGACTGACTTGCTGGTTATGTTATCCCACGTATGCATGTTCCTTTTTTTTAGTCACATGCCAAACAAAAGGGCCAAAATACCTAACTTTCTTTGGTGCTGCTGCCATAACCAAAATCTTAGGCAAGTGTTTTTGTGATCTCCAATAAAGACCAGGAGCCTTCCTCACCATTAGTGATGGGCTCGGGCGTGTTCGCAGCTCCACGTGCCGAGCCCGCCAGAAAGCTGACAGCGCCAATCACAGGTACTGAGACATTATCCCTGTCCGCAGCTGCAGAGATCGGGATATGTTTCAGTACCTGTGATTGGCACTGCGCGCGGGCTCGGCACGTGGAGCACGCCCGAGCCCATCAATACTCACCATCAGCCCACATCATGTGATCAATGCCCCAGGCTTTTGGTTATATGAACAACACTAGAGGGAGCAGCAAGATTTTTCCAGGAAACCTATTTCTGTCTGTTACTCTCTATCTATCCCAACTATACTCTCACATACGTTGAAGTTGAAGTTGAACTTTAAAAATGTATCTATCCAACTTTTTTAGTGGGGATTAAGTGGGGAAGGATTAGAATCTCTTTAATGCTTTCCACTGCTGTTATAGAGATGCCTGTGCCATTGGCCTTAGATTCACATCTGAGCTGCTTCCCTCACCTCACAAGTCTGTGGGAATAAAAAAGCAGCTTGAAGCAGATCAAATGCAAATCATGAGGTCAAATGCAGGTAAAATGAACTCAGAACGATCCCAGAAGCATCTCAAGCTTAATGCAGACAGCATCTAGAAGCAAGCTGTGCCCATTGACACAAGCCCGAAACCCCTGGACACCGCCCCCTACTATCACAGTGAGAACTGTGTCGCCAGACAGGAAGTAAGGGAAACATTTTGAATGGATGTACACTTTAAAGGAGAACTATGGGGTTAAGTCTTTTCCCCATAGTTCTCCTTAGGGTAACGGGAGGACACAAACTAGCGTCCTCCCGTCACCCTAGGCTCAGTATACCGCAAGCTGCAGCTCGCGGTATACTGAGACGCCGCAGCTGAAGCGGATCCCGACAATTATGTCTGGATCCGCCCAGCTGCATGACTGACAGCTGGCTCTGGCTATCTAGAGGCAGAGCCAGCTGTACTCGCCCCCTCCCCGTCCGTTCCGCCAGTCAGCGCTGGAATCCAGCCCCTTCCCTGTCACGGCAGAGAGCCGTGACAGGATCGAGAGGTGTGCGAACGCCGGTATGTGTTCGCTCACCTCCCGATCTACTGAGCCGACCTGTGACAGTCTCATTGTCACAGGTCAGCTGGAACTATGAGGTGAGTGGAAAGCACTCACCTCATAGTTCTCCTTTAAGGATCACTTTTTCAGCTGACTCAGGTTTTTGTCCCATAACCCACTATGAATGAACCTTCTTCTTTAACATTTCTCCTGCCTAATGGAGAGCGGGTGGGTGCTTGGCAGCTTACAGGAAACCTGTAGGATGGAAACATGGGGCTACCACTGTTTTGGAAAATGCATGGTCCAGGGCTGTTATGCAGATTCTTGCTTTGCCATTGCACACCAGCAGCTGTGCGTTCAGTGCAGCGTGCGGATGTAAACCGACCCTTATGACTGGTTCACACCATCTGTGTTGTGACCGTTGTGGCCGTTTTTTCCAGCAAAGCCTGAACGCAAGACAGGACAATTTACCTCGTCATGGATGGGCTTAGCTCACACCACTGCGTTCTGGTGGCGTAGGATGTACTTCCTCAATGCACTGACACCATTTCACTCAGCCCTGTGAATATGTACTTCATGGTGTCACCGCTCTCACAGAGCCTGCTGTCTGAACTTCAACTCAATACCTGAACAAGGTAACATCATCATTGCTTGCTGGAAGCAATGCATGATGGGCTATGTAGTCCCATTGCCTCACATCAAGCAGCAGGGAAACAGACACAAAGCACACTGGGAATCCAGGAAGATGATAATAGTGATAGCCAGACGGAAGGAAGCACTCACTACATAAAAGGGATTTTGTCAAGTAAGCTTTGATTGCATTATGAAAAACAACTCTAGTATGTATTCCTATTACAGTGCTGATGTCATAACAGGAGAGGATATGCTGGGACTTTACAACTCCTTTAATGACAGGTTCTCACTAACTCATGCTCCTATAGCGTAATACGACTAACCCAACAACTACCATTACTTAGACACTCACCCTGTTTGCCCCAAACTGTCCATCAGCACCAGGAAGGCTTGGTCTGCAGGGCCCTCCAGGAAGAAACTGTCCCACAGGTCCAAATATTTTGACGTCAGAAGGTCCATCCACTGGGGGCCCATTTTAGCCACCAAAAACCTAAGAAAAGGGGTGTAATGTGTTCTATAGAATTCAGCCATCTCCTGTGCCGTTGCTGGATTCTCACCCTGGCCAAGGTAACGCTTGGTGCTGGTCAGGATATCCACCAATCTATCGCCATCTGAGATATTCGACAGGTCAGTGAGAGCATCAGAGACCGCTGTGCGCACCGACAGAACGTCCTGATCCATTCTATACGGGCTCTGCAACCTAGAACATGAAACACAGGGAGTTAGGGGGTGAGTGAGGTTAAAGCTGACCTAGTATCAGATGGTAGATGTAAACACAATCACTAAAATCTCATAAAGGTCTTAACTCCATCATGTCATTTCAAATGTCAATTTCAATATCTTTAAAGCGCAAACAAAAAAAATGTACCCTTGCTGACCCCCTCTGGGCTGCTAGACCAGTCCCAGCAGCCTCTTCTCCCCTGGGCTATAGCAGTCTAAGGACCGCTGACATCATAACGTAAAATGCAAGTTTCAAAGACCTGTATTAGACATGATGACACCTGGGGGAGGGCAGCACTGACCGCCAGGGGATCAGGTGAGTAAATCTGCTTTACTCCAGTCCCCTGGACATAAATGAGCACTTAAGGAAGAACTCTGGGCAAAAGTGTTCTTATCCCTTGCAGTGGGGCGACTCCGGCACTGTAAGGGTTAAGTGCTTATTGTTATCTAGGTGCAACAAAAAAAGTTAGACTCGCCCAAACAGCTGAACTGGCTCCCTGCTTCTCCAGTCCCCTCCTATGCTGTATCAATGGAATGGTCCTCAGCGTCATCATGTCTATACAATGTGTATGGAACATGATGCTTTCCCCTTACCTGGGGGGTGGTGTGGAGAGGCTCCAGGACCCAGTCTGAGACCAAGCTGGCTCTGAAGATAAGGTGAGCATAACTTTATTATCACCTAGACAAAAATTAGCACTTAACCCTTGCAGTGCAGCAGTAGCCCTACTTCAAGGGTACTTTTTTTGTTTGCCTATCGGTGGGCTATAAATTTGCAGCTTTGATTCAAAATACCAGTGTGTTTACTAATAATATAATCCACATAGTGTTACCCGGCGTCCTCTTCTGTAACAGTAGATCACAATTCCTCTACCCAAACGTATTCTGTCAATAGCAGGCGGGTATTAGGCAAACCCAATAGTGACATCAGAACTCAACCCTCCTGATTGGAACTTGTGTTCTCGGTCTCCGTGCACTAACCACGTTCTGTGGGAGAGCCAAGCCTCGTTCTGGGACTTCCGCATAGATCACATTACCTTCCAAGAGCCAAGCCTCATTCTGGTACCTCAAGCAGATCACCTGACCTTCTAAGAGCCAAGCCTCATTCTGGTACCTCAAGCAGATCACCTGACCTACTAAGAGCCGAGCCTCATTCTGGGTACCTCAAACAGATCACATGACCTTCCGAGAGCAAAGCCTCTCTGGGGACCGTTCCACAGCTCAAGTGACTGCAAAGCAGATGTATACATTGTAGAATTGAAGATACCCTGTGCCCATATTATTAAAGTGACAGTAAACTGAGGAGTTAAATCTTCAAAATGCATTCAAGTACCTATTAACATACATTTATCTTATTTGTGTATCACTCGGCCGTAGATCCTCAAATCATCTCTGAATTGGTGCTGACACTGTCCTTCCTTTTGGAGGGTGGCTACTTTTGTTCCCCATGGTCCTTGTGTGTTTAAAGTAGTCACCGATCCAAGCTTGCTGTTGTGATTCGTCATTTGAGTCATTGATCCGCAAAAAGTATGGAAGCTAGAGGTTCAGCATGACAGCCAGACAACTCCTTTCAGCCATTTGTTAAGAGGGAGAAGAAGGCCTGTGAAAGTTCCACTTGGTGCTCACACAAGGCCGAGAACTGCCTGTCCATCCACTGTGACAGCAGTGGCACCTCAATGTCACATGGGAGGAGGCACAGTTAATTACATGATCCACCCACACCTGGAAGTATCTGGTATTTTCTTTCCTCCTGGTGGCTGAGCAGTGAGGGAACAAAGGAAAAGGGCAGAAATTGCATCTAGGCTACCTGGCATTAAAGTAATTATATTGGATAAAGCACAGGGATGCTTTAACCCTTTCGCTGCCAATGCTTTTTTTTTTTTTTTGCATTTTGTTATAATCCACATTTTAGGCCTGAAAATTGCTTAAAACCTCCAATAATTATATATTGTCTGAAAGCAAACCCAGCAGACCCCGTAGAATAAAATGGTGGCAGCAGCAAATTTTCACGTCGCATGATATTAGCGAAACTCTTTATCAAACCCAAAATTTCAGTAATCCTCTTTAAAGTATAAATAAACCCTTGTGTGTTTTTGCGCATATATCTACGGCTAGCAAGCCATGGATATATGCAAAAACATTTTTAAAAATGTAAAGGGTTAAAACTTACCTGTGTCTCCGCCACACACTACCATCTGAAGATTCTCAGGCGGCCACAAAGGATCATGGGGCAGGCACATGCGCAGTACAGATCTTCGGATGGGAATAGAGGAGAGACACAGGGTAAGTTAATGCAGGCAGCGTGCACCCGCATAGACTCCGTGGGACAGGAAGAGAGAGGAGTCAGCGCTGGATCGTAGACCGGCACCAGCGCTGGAGGGACTGCTGAAAACTACTTGAAAGAAGGAGATGATCGGATCAAGAGACATCATTTAAGGTAAATCATTACACTAGCATTGGGGGAGGGGGGGTTTTGGCTTTAATGTCACTTTACGTGTAAATTACACTTAAAGAGGACCTTCACCCATATCTTTAAAATAACAACAAACATTTAGAAATGTTTAGTAATTACAATCTACAAACACATACTTCCAGATCATTGCCGGCTTTGTAATCTTTGCATACCTTATTTTTCTTTTCCTCCCCATGCTTCTCACAGTGGCCATGTTAACTAAAGGCAGATTATTAGCTCTCCCTTTACTTCCTGGAACTCTGGCACATCTGACTAGGACCATGCACATCATCTCAGGGGAGGAAAATGTCTTTCCCTTAGATCTCATGAGATCACAGATGAGGTTTCCCAGCAATGTACTGCTGATGTAATCTTCCCAGGAGGGAACACTTGGGCACAGGCTGCATCACTAATGCCCAAAAGGATCAGGAACTCTATTTGTAAGTAAATGAAAAACAAGTTTCTTTAACTAACGAATGTAAGATGATTTGAATCAGCATGCAGAGCTGCATGCTGATGTGATGTTTAGTGAAAGGGGGTAAAGTCCTCTTTAAGTTAATTTTAGTGCATATAAAAATATAATAAACCATTTTTGTAAAATATCAAATATAAGGTTATGCTGAGTAAATAGATACCCAACATGCCAAGCTTTAAAATTGTGTGTGCCCGTGAAACTGCAGCAAAATACGGTACCCCAAATTGTCCATAGGCAATTATTTAAAAGCCTGTACAGGTCATCAGTTTAGAGTTAATCGTGAATATTGGCCCTAGAATCATTGCTCTCACTCTGGCACACGTGGCGATACCCAACATGTGTAGTAGCGCAATCGTCTTTTCCTTCGTAGGTAGGCGCACCCGACACGTGTTTACATTAGTATGCATATGTCGGCGGGAGACTAAAAAAATATTTTCAATTTTTTTTATATGTATTTTTTTAGTTTTTTTAAATTAACTTAATTGGAATAATATAGGAGGGCTTACAAGCCCCCTATGTGATAGCACATTGAACGTGACAGGTACTGTTTAAAAGGGACATTAGGGGGTCTGTTAGACCCCCTACTGTCACCTTTCCACTTCAAAGAAGCTATTCAATCATAGATCGGGCTTGAATAGCTTCTTCCCTGGCTTCTCTAGTCAGGGAATGGCAGCTGAGGAGCCGGAAGTGATGCAATCTGCGTCGCTTCTGGCTTCATCCAGCAGGGAGGAGATGTTTGTTGGTCTCTCTTCTCACCGACACCCATGATGCTGGTCCCTAGGCCCACAGGAGGGTCAGTAGAGACTGGGAAGCAAGGTGGGAGTGTAGGGCTGGGGGGATTTGGTATGGGGCACTGTTCACCTGCCGGAATCACTTCCAGTGTAAAGCTGGCATTCAAATTTACAGTGGTAGAGTTCTGGTGGCTATAGCCGCTATGGTCTGTTTACAGGGGCCCGCTGCCAGCTCCGTAAGGCATAAGGAAAGGGTTAAACTGACACCCTCATGTGATCTTCCACCTCTCTATTTCTCCCACTGAATGCCCTAGGAAAGTTCTGGGTTGGACTTTACACAATGATAAGGACCCTCATCTTGTCAGGCAATTTGCCACTCATCATGGGAAGAAAAGGCGAGAGGTAAAGAGTCCAATGCTTCCTCATGCCCAGCAGTCCTGGGCACTGCACATAGCTCCAGGCAGTCAATTGAGTGACAGGGGAGAATACGGATAGAAAATTATCAGCAGTGGAAGGGACATGTTATAGGCTGAACCTGTTATTTTGCTCTGAATAAGCAGTGTATGCTGTAGATCAGGGGTGCCCATTAGGTAGATCATGATCCACCAGTAGCTCTCAAAGCTGATGCTGGTAGATCACAAAGGGTGTGAATGGCGGCCCCTTTATTCCATTTTGGTATATTTATTTAGCTGTGCACAAATCCTATCAGCCTGAGTCTGCTGAGCCAAGCTCCCTGACACCTTTCTGGTGGTTGAAGTGCTATGTATTACATCCAAGAATATTAATTTACACAGCCTGTTGCACTACACTGTTTGCAAAATACAGCAAGGTGAGCCAGGAGAGAGAGCGTTGTGAGACAGACAGGAGAGAGAAGAAAGACAGCCAGGGGAGAGATTGAGGAGAGACAGCCACGGGAGAGAGAGAGAGGAGAGACAGCCAGGGGAGAGACAGCCAAGGGAGAGAGAGAGGAGAGACAGCCAGGGGAGAGACAGCCACGGGAGGGAGAGAGGACAGACAGCCAGAGGAGAGACAGCCAAGAGAGAGAGAGGAGAGACGGCCAGGGGAGAGACAGCCAAGGGAGAGAGAGAGGAGAGACAGCCAGGGGAGAGACAGCCAAGGGAGAGAGAGAGAGAGGAGAGACAGCCAGGGGAGAGACAGCCAAAAGAGCAAAGAGAGACAGCCAGGGGAAAAAACAAGGAATGACAGCCAGGAGGATGAGCAAGGAGAGAAGGCCAGGAGAGAGAGAGAGACAGCCAGGAGAGAGAGAGAGCGAGGGAGGTTTTTTTTTCGCTGGTAGATCTCATGTAGTTCGTCATTTGAAAAGTAGATCTTGCAAAAGCTTGTACTGATTGTATTACTGACTGCAATATGTCTTTTGAGCTGTAGATGGCAGTATAGTGCAATGTTAGTCTCTCTACATGCATGCTTATCTATGATACACATGAAGTTTTCCTGTATATCCGTTTCCTTCACAATGCCATATTCATACATGTGACGTTCTCCTAAGCAAGTAAAACTTAATTCAGCATTCTTCAAGATCTCAGTTCTTCATCTAAACACATAATCAACAGATGTTCTGTTTTGGATGCCAATATGTGCAATGACAGTAGCCATACTGTCCCCACAGACCTAGTCTGTGAGGACAGTATGACTACTTGCTGACTTGGCACATCCACAGGCAGCTTAACTATTCAAGGTCCAGCTAACCATTGTGTCCATGTTTCATGTTACACCCATAATCAGCCCAACACCCCACCCTCAAACCCGAATCATGGGTTTCTTCTAAGCGTAGGTTCCTGTATACATTTTAATTCAGAGTGGCTGTGCGTGGTTCCCTCCCATTCATTCACAGATTCATTCACAGGTTCTGCAAATAAAAAGACTACATACAGCCAAGAGAGAGAGAGGAGAGACGGCCAGGGGAGAGACAGCCAAGGGAGAGAGAGAGGAGAGACAGCCAGGGGAGAGACAGCCAAAAGAGCAAAGAGAGACAGCCAGGGGAAAAAACAAGGAATGACAGCCAGGAGGATGAGCAAGGAGAGAAGGCCAGGAGAGAGAGAGAGACAGCCAGGAGAGAGAGAGAGCGAGGGAGGTTTTTTTTTCGCTGGTAGATCTCATGTAGTTCGTCATTTGAAAAGTAGATCTTGCAAAAGCTTGTACTGATTGTATTACTGACTGCAATATGTCTTTTGAGCTGTAGATGGCAGTATAGTGCAATGTTAGTCTCTCTACATGCATGCTTATCTATGATACACATGAAGTTTTCCTGTATATCCGTTTCCTTCACAATGCCATATTCATACATGTGACGTTCTCCTAAGCAAGTAAAACTTAATTCAGCATTCTTCAAGATCTCAGTTCTTCATCTAAACACATAATCAACAGATGTTCTGTTTTGGATGCCAATATGTGCAATGACAGTAGCCATACTGTCCCCACAGACCTAGTCTGTGAGGACAGTATGACTACTTGCTGACTTGGCACATCCACAGGCAGCTTAACTATTCAAGGTCCAGCTAACCATTGTGTCCATGTTTCATGTTACACCCATAATCAGCCCAACACCCCACCCTCAAACCCGAATCATGGGTTTCTTCTAAGCGTAGGTTCCTGTATACATTTTAATTCAGAGTGGCTGTGCGTGGTTCCCTCCCATTCATTCACAGATTCATTCACAGGTTCTGCAAATAAAAAGACTACAAGATTCACCTGCCACGCAGGAGACCGACTCATGGATATCAATAGAGCACAAGTTGTCAAAGTACTTGTAGTTCATAGATTACTTCCTCCAGCCCCAAATTCAAAGGTCTGTACCCCAGTGCAGACCTGGGGTTGGAGGACTGGTTTGCAGGAACCTGTACATTGCAACTGCGATTCATTGATCCTGGTTGCAATGCTTTGCAGTCTTCATATCCTATGCTCCTTGGTTCCATCTAGTGGTGGTAGTGCAATGCGAGCGGCATTCGCTCTGCTATACGCCGGGTGGAAGATTAATCAATCAGACCCTAAGTTTTTGTTTTATATTTTTTATTGCAGCTCAGTAGGAGCACATACCTGTAGGTGTCAATGATTTTCAGATCATTTATGGACAAGTGAATGAAACTCTGATACAAAACATATGCACATTTTTATAAATATGTTCTTCTTTATTAAAATGTACAATTGTTATTCCTCTCTGCTTGTATTTTAGCAAAACCCAATCAAACAGAATAAACATAACTAGAACCTGTTGGGTTAGAAAGATGGAAACTGCTATTTCTGGCTATTATTTTATGGGAAGGAAGTAACAAGTTGACAGATGCAGTGATTTATGAAGGTTGTTTACAACGTACTCAATGTGTCATATGTGGTTTACAAGTTTCTGTTCTGCGTTGGCCTTTGTTGGAAATAATGGGGATTTCCACAATACCATAATGGTGCTCCAGGCTGCCGTCATTATACGCAGGCATGGAGATTTTGAAGATAGATTGGGCTTACCTGATAAGTAGATGGATCAAGTGCAATGTATATTTTCAGGGAAGTCTTTAAACTGCCTGACCTGACGCCAGAAAGACTGAATACTGACTTTGTTATTGAAGGGACAGGCTGTGGGGGTGTCATTCTTAACTTTAAAGTGACATTAAAGTCACATTTGTTTTCCCTCCCCCCAATGTTAATGTCAGCACTTACCTTAAATGATGTCTCTTAATCCGATCTTCCTCTTCTTTCCTGTCCTTTTCAGCCTTCTCTCCAGCGCTGCTGGGGGTCTCCGATCCAGCGCTGACTCCTTTGTTCTTGCTGGCACTTCCTGTCCCATGGTGTCTGCATGCGGGTGCACGCGTCCATAGACTTACCTTGCGTCTCTCCTCGTCTCCCGGCCGAAAATCTGAAGTGCGCATGCGCACACCCCAAGAAGCTTTGCGGCCGCCCGAGCAGTTTTGGATTTTCGAACGGGAACGCGTGGCGAAGACAGGGGTAAGTTTAAACCGCTTTTAAAGCGTTTTTTTTTTTTTTTTTTACTTCTTGCATATATCTACTGCTTGCTAGCAGTAGATATATGCAAAAAAAACAGAGGGTTTAGAGACCCTTTAAGGGCCAATTTAAGCTGTTGCGTTACTGTGATACAGTGCCATTCACTTGGAATGACACCCCAACAAACAACTGAATGGGCAAAATGATAGGGTCCATTCTACTGTGCCTGCCCAATCCCAGTAGGCTTTTGGAATACAGGGTGGTGGGGTCTGTAATAATGATGAAGCTCATTGTTGGCCTATCCATTTTGAAAATACTAATGCACTGGCTGTTATGCCAATCCTGTGGCTTCATCACTTGCTAAAAGGAACGGAGAGGTCCTTGCCTAGATTTGGAAGCGGAGAACAGGGTACAAGTTGGGTGGTTAGGTACGTGTGCGTGTGGGTGGATGGCACATGTTTGACCGCCCATGGAAGTGATCGGACAGCTTCACAGCAACAGCAGCGTACAGCATACGTCGGCGTCAGCAAAAGGGTTAAAGGTGAATTATGGGGAGAGTAAAATGCACTCATCCCCATAATCAGAACCGACGTGTGACACTGAAGCTGTCATAAACCGTTGATCGCTCTCAGGGATTCCCCCCTCCCCTCTCCATTCCTAAAGCGCTGAGTGGAGGGACGGATGGGGAGAGGGCGGGCACAGCTGGCTCTGACTCTAGAGAGGCAGAGCCAGCTGTCAAACAAGTAGTGGGATGGATCCCGACAACATTGTTGGGATCCGTCCCGGCTGCAGCACGGCTCTGCGCTGTCAGCATATAGCGGGCTATATGCTGAGTTTGGGTCTCAGGAGGACACCTGTATTTGTCCTCCTGTGACCCTAAAGAGAAGTATGGAAGAAAAGGTTGGGCCATAGTTCTATTAAAAGTTAGCAAGAAACAAATTAAAGCCAAACTACAGCAAACACTTGCTATGCAGTTGCAGCAAAATATTTCTTTTTCTTAAAGGGTGTTAAACCTTAGGAGTAAAAGCTGAGCACCAGTGGCAATGTTCTATGGTTTGCCCTAACCCCTGTACTGTCACTTTTCCTGGACATCTATGACTGCATGCAAACAATTAATAAAGGAATTTGAAATATATAAAAGGAATTCATATACTGGATACTATCATTACAGGTGTTAACCCCATACAGTTACCAGAAAGCAACATTTTCACTATAGTTGGCTTTTAGATACAGCCATGGGTGTATGAGTCAGCAAAAAGAGTTAATATTTTGTGTAGCACACACACATATACAGTACATACTCTGAGCTGTGTGACGAAGGTTTTAGCTTGCTCACCACGCCTTCTATGTTAAGATCTGATATGTGGTGTTTGCTTTCATTTTCCTTTGAGCGATGTCGTTCCTAAGAGATGAGCTAAACTGCTCCATCTGTCTGAGCCTCTATAGCGACCCTGTAATGTTGTACTGTGGGCACAACTTCTGCCGAGGATGTATTGTGCAGGTGTTGGACAACCACGACCCATCCATGGCTTACACCTGTCCCGAATGCAGAACAGAGTTCCAGCAACGTCCTACATTGCTAAGAAACCTGAAGCTGTGTAATATCGTGGAGCACCTTTGCCCAAGACAGCAGGAACAGCAAGAGGAGGCCAACCTGTTCTGCACCTATTGCGAGTTCGACATACCAGCCATAAAATCCTGCCGGCGATGTGAAACGTTCCTGTGTGGCAACCACTTGAAGAAACACAACAAGTCAGTGGAACATTTGTTAACCGAACCCAGCACTTTTCTAAAGAACCGGAAATGTTCCCTTCACAAGGAATTTCTTAAATACTACTGCTCCCAGGATTCTACCTGTATCTGTGATCTCTGTTACCAGGGCGGTCCTCACCGGGGTCACCCGGTGGAGCTTTTGACCACAGCTGCTGAGAGGAAACTCCAAAATTCCATGATGAAGCTCATCAGAGACAGGGAGGAGCTGGAAGGCAAGGTCGGAAGACTCAAGGCGCAGAAAAGAAAGGTCCAAGAACAAGCAGATACTTTGAGAAAGGGGATGAAGGCATTCTTCACCATGTTCATGAAAGAGATTAAAATTTTGCAGAAGATGGTGTTAGCTGAGATCTCCAGACAGAAAGGCCACGCGCTTCTCCAAACCACGGACCACATCCAAAGACTAGAAACAAGAAAAGATGAATTGTCTAAGAAGATTTATCGGACTGAAGAGTTGCTCCACATCTCCGATCCTTTAACTGTACTGATGGAAGAACCAGAGAATGACAAGAGCCTCAATGTGCAAGATGTTACTGTTTATTTGGACGAGACGCCCATCCAGTTGGTTCTAAATCTAGGTCTGTCAAGACTGGTGGACATTTCCACGGAACTCAAAGAGAACATTTCAATGCCGAAGGTGTCCAGCGTGTTGATGGATGTCAGTACGGCATGCAATTATATATTTGTCTCACGTGACCTGAAATCTGCCTCTTATGTGCAAATAAACCAAGGGTATCCAGACGGGCCAGAACGTTTTACATCATGCCAGGTGTTAGGCGGCCATAGTTTCGATGCTGGGCAATGTTACTTCGAAGTGGACGTTAGCAAGGCCAAGGAGTGGATAGTAGGTCTGGCCTACAACAGCATGGAGAGGAAAACACTGGAGAAGGACTCTTACATAGGCTATAATGACAAATCTTGGAGCTTGGAATACCGCAATGGTCTTCTTGCCCGCCACGACAACATAACTGACGATGTGACCCTGGGCCCTCCGATGCAGCTTCTTGGTGTGTACATCAACGTGGACACTGGACAGCTTTCGTTTTATCAACTGTGTGATCAGATCAGACATTTATATACCTTCTCTGCCAGCTTCACTGAGGGTCTTCATGCTGCTTTCTATATATTTCCAGATAGCTGCATATCAGTCCACTAGATGCTGAAGCTTTCATGAGGGGCATGGCAAGATTGTTGTGTGACTCTGCCCTGAGGTCTGTTCAAACAATTCAGTGCTTTGCTTTCCCAGGTACACCAGACTGACAGATGTTCAAAAAGATGTAACCCCTAACTGAATGGCATTTAGTTTGCTAAATGTGTTTTATAACAGCCTTTGACCATTTTTTATCCGTTGATGCACCTCAGTCCTGCTGATCGCCTGCTCTTTATTTTAAGTCACTTTCTGTCTCCATGCACTCCAGCAATAGCTGCATGGTATTTCACAGGGCAGGCTTCCTGATGGTGACAACGGTGGACCATGCTTGCAAGTGTGTTGAACCACCCACTTGTAGTCTCTATAGGAAGCCTGTGACAACACAGGAACACAATTGGGACGCAGGGACAGGGCGTTGTCACTCTATAGCAGGAAGTACCTTAAAGTGACCGTAAACTCAGGAGTTAAATCTTAAAAATGCATTGATGTACCTTAACTATTAACAAAAATGTAGCCTATTTGTGTATCACTCGGCTGTAGATCCTCAAATCATCTCTGAATTGGTGCTGACACTGTCCTTCCTTCTGGAGGGGGGCTACTTTTGTCCCTGTGTGTGTTGTAAAGTAGCCGCCGCTCCAAGATCCCTCCTGTGATGGTCTACAATATAAATACAAATTAGTAAACTAAACATGAGATTGTAGTCCATCACAGGAGTGAGCTTGGAGCCGTGACTACTTTACAACACACACAGGGACCATAGGGAACAAAAGTAGTCACCCTCCAGAAGGAAGGACAGTGTCAGCAGCAATTCAGAGATGATTTAAGGATCTACAGCCGAGTGATACACAAATAACATACATTTTTGTAATTTTAAGATTTAACGCCTGGGTTTAGTGTCACTTTACCAAGGACCTTGATGGCATGATCACCTGCTGTTATGTTAATGACAGCGTTAAGATTTTGAAACACTGAAAATGACTTTAGTATGTTAAAGCCTAAATTAGATTTTTATGGTTGGATTTACTCTACTTTAAATTAACCTAACTGCAGTGGCATCACAAGGGGGGTGTGGCCCGGGTCCCATTGCAGGGGTGACACCAAAATGACTTGCAGTCATTTTGGTGTCACCCCCCTGTAAAAAGTCGGGCACTCGGTCGTGGACCGAGAGCCCGACAGTGTCAGGAGAGAGGAGGGGTGAATGTCCCCGCCGGGTGAACGTCCCCACCAAGATGGGCGCCGGCAGGCGTCAATCAGAGGGACGCGAATGCGCGATGACATCATTGCGCACGCACGTGATGACGTCACGCGCAAATGACGATACGGCGGGGTGTCACCTGGTCTAGAGTCTAGAGAAAGGGTGACACCCAGCCTCGGGACACCATTGCCTAACTGTCAATATTGACCTTTTTTGATTGTAGAAGGCAGGTCCCATGTTTTTTTGCTTTCCAAAGTTCATCACGTGCTGAGTGTCAATAAACTCTGACACTTTCTTTCATAAGAAGGAACTCAAAGAATCATCCAACATGTCCCAATTTAAAATCATGAGATTGTCCTTCAGCTGACCTACACTGCTCAAAGTTAGCAGGACTCGGCTGAAATTCAAACAGTGTGTGGCCTTGTCGAAACTTTTTGTAGCCAATCAACTGCAGTCACTGTTTGGGTATTCTGAGAGGCGCACACCCACCTCTGTCAGAATACAATGCCCCCCCCCCCCACCATCCAGGCTGTTTAGCGTGGATGGAGGAATCAAGCTCTGTGTGATAAGTCTTAAATATCTTTAAGTTTAATCTCATGGCTTCACATTAAGCCCTCATTCACACGGGTAACGGCCGGCCCGTACAGATTCGCGCTGCGTGCACGGCCGTATCGCGCCGCTCCCGGGAAGGACAGGTGCTGCGTGTGATTAGTACACAGCCTCTGTCCTTCTCTATGGGAGTATGCGGCCGTACGCCGCCCTATGCTCACCCGACCTGCACGTCTGTACGGGTGCGTGTGCTCCTGCTCGGATGCAGACAGGATCCATCCTGTCAGCGTACAAGTACAGACAACCGCACCCGCACGGACATGCAGGTCTGGTGAGCGTAGGGCGGCGTACAGCCGCATACTCCCATAGAGAAGGACAGGCTGCTGCTGGTGACTTTACCTGAGTTGCACTAACTATCTGCTTGGCCACCACTATCACCATATTCCTATTAGATGTCACATACCCTGAGGTGTGCAGAAAAGTGATTTTTCTGATCTCACTACATCAGGACTGCAAAGTACATTTGCATTACTGGCAGACAACAACCACATCCACCACGATCAAGCTGTCACTACACAGAGAGGGTGAACTCCATTCCCAGCTCACACTTTAGTTGCTACAGTTACAATATTGCACAAGCCGAGGAAACGCAAAGCTGAGTCCTGATGCGGCAGCAATTTTTTCAAAAGCTATAATAGCAGGGGTAGGCAACCTTGGCCCTCCAGCTGTTGTGGAACTACAAGTCCCACGAGGCATTGCAAGACTTTGACAGCTACAAGCATGACTCCCAGAGGCAGAAAAATTATGGGGTTGGGGTTGTCCCGAGGCCAGGTGTCACCCGGAGCGGAGACCGGGTGACACCCCGCCGTGACGTCATCACGCATGCACAGCCATCTAATTGACGCCTGCCAGCGGCCATCTTAGTGATGGACGCCGGCACAGAGAGGAGGGGACACTCACCCGACGGGATGAGGTATGCTGCCTGGTCCCCTCCTCTCTCCTGACACTGTTGGGCTCTCGGTCCATGGCCGAGTGCCCGACTTTTAGAGGGGGTGACAACCAAATGACTGTCAGTCATTTGGGTGTCACCCCTCCAATGGTATATTTATAAAGTCACTCGCACTCCAATAGAATTTCAAGTCAAAAAACGGTTTATTGACTCGATTGCTAAAACATCATATAGCTATATGATGTGATAGCAATCGAGTCAATTAACCGTTTTTTGACTTGAAATTCTATTGGAGTGCGAGTGACTTTATACATATACCTATCTTGGATTGCAGAGGCATCTGCAGTCACTTTGGCACCCACCCGACTCTAAGGGTACTATTCGGTCAGGTGTGCGATGGGTACATTGGATTTTGGACCCCTCCAATGGTGTCACCCGAGTGAGGGCCGCACCCCCCACACCCCCCCCCCCTCGTGACGCCACTGATGGGGTTTGTAGTTTCAGTACAGCTGGAGTGCTGAGGTTGCCTACCCCTGTCATAGATGTAAATGCTCTGTCTGTACTCTGCAATGGCCAAAAATTGTCAGTTGTGTAGCTTGCACAAGACGAATGGATGCATGCACGTCAGTGTTTGCATCATCTCGTTTTCTGTGGTTGTTTTATGCAAACCAGGTGAAGCATTTATATTGTACAGAATTGGCTTCGGTGACTGCCGCTTTGTGTAGAAGAGAAGCACCTATTTTTGTAACTGGTATTTTCTATTTTTCTATTGTATTATATTTGATATCTAAAAGCCACTGTCCCTATGTGTCCCGGTGACCATTTACTGAAAGAGAGTGATCAGCCACAACTTAGAATTGTCACCAAAAAGGAACAAAAGGGAAATCTTTCATTGGGGGTAAATGTTTTGGTAACAACTGTCTTAGAGGGGTTTTGGCGAAAGAAACTTGAGGGAGTTGAGGTTATGGTTAAATCTTAAAATACATTCAAATACCTGAACTATTAACAAAAATGTATCTTATTTGTGTATCACTCGGCTGTAGATCCTCAAATCATCTCTCTGAATTAGTGCTGACACTGTCCTTCCTTCAGAAGGGGGGCTACTTTTGTTCCCCATGGTCCCTGTGTGTGTTGTAAAGTAGTCACCGCTCCAAGCTCACTCCTGTGATGGACTACAATCTCATGTTTCGTTACTAATTTGTATTGAGATTGTAGTCCATCACAGGAGTGATCTTGGAGCGGTGACTACTTTACAACACACACAGGGACCATGGGGAACAAAAGTAGCCCCCCTTCTGAAGGAAGGACAGTGTCAGCACTAATTCAGAGAGATGATTTGAGGATCTACAGCCGAGTGATACACAAATAAGATAAATTTTTGTTATTAGTTAAGGTACTTGAATGCATTTTTAAGATTTAACTCCTTAGCTTAGTGTCACTTTAACCTTCATTAAATGCGTATGCCACCTCCAAAATCATTAATATTTCTTTATCGTCTCTATACTTGCAGCCTGCTGTGGCTCTTATACGCAGAAGCCGTATCTGTCCATCTCTCCCCTTGTCCATTCACAGAACGACTTTGGCCCCAATTAAATTTGCTGTGTGCAAAATTGTCCAATTTTGTGCATGTTTGCGAAACAAGTTCTGTCACACTTGCGGTGCTGTTATTTTGTTAATGGCGACCCCAAACACAGCAAGCACGATGCACGTTAATGTGCAATAAACGTACACAAGCATAAGGTCAAAAACAACTTGAACATCACAGTTCAGATTGCTGCATGGACTTCTTTGACATGTTTGTTGTGTGTAGGGCGGCCCTGTGCTGATGCACAACAAACACACAAAAATGCTACGCACGTTCATGCACATGGCAAGTGTGAATGGGGCCTTCTATCTTGTGAATGGTTTATATTGTACAAGGCGTTCAGTGGATGGAAAAGGGAAGAGAAGGGGTGACTAAACAACAGTTCGGCTTCTATGTATGAGAGCCACAGCTGTAATTGTCGCAGCTAGACATGTGCAATGCGTTTCGTTCCGAATAGAAATTCGGATGTATCCGAAATTCCCAATTACAGATATAACGAATGCAAACGAATTCGAATTTACGATTCCAAATTTACCATTTGTTTTTTTTGGACGAACTTTCGTTGCAGCAAAGTGACATTTGAGAACAAAAAAACTTTTTTTTCCCCTCTTAAATGTCACTTTGCTGCAACGAACGAATGAAACGAACGCGAAACGAATTAGAAACGAACGTTCGTACGGATTTCCGCTAAGGAATTTCGTCAGAATCCGAATTCCGAAACGAATTGA